GTTTAGTCGTTTTATGAATGGTAGACAGACAATGAGTCCACAGGAGAAAGACCCCTGCCACGGTAGGCTAATCATATTTTCCGCCACCGTTACTACAGTTATTTGACACAACATCAAAAAAAGAAATGCAACAAAATGACAGAAAGGCATTGAAGGTTACACTGAAGAATACCTCGTATCAGTGTATGTTTTTAAAAGTTGCTACGTTAATTTCAGGCCTAGAGAAGGGGGCGTAATCGAGAGAGAGAGATGGAGACTTCTGAAGTGGCCAACCGTTTGTGGCGCTCTGCAATTTTGAATATACATTTTGTAATTAAAAATGTGGTTGCTGTGATTTAGTCGATGATATCCAACTGTCGGTCGGCTATCAGAAGCTCTTGAAAGTGACATGAGCTACATTAATTATGATTCCATGCCTCACTAATACACTGTGCCCACCCTCAGAAGTGTTTGTGAGTTAATTTGTTCAACTAAATGACAGAATCCGCTTCAAACCGAGATCATGCCGCTTCCAACTGGGGACGACGACCCCCTCCTCTTCTCTTTTGCGCACGCCCCCTCATTTCCAGAACGATTCCTTGTTATGACATCCCGGTAAAAGACAGCCACAGAGGTCTCTCACCTCGACGCTAAATTCAATCTAATAAATGCAGACCCCAGCGCTCTAGTCGCTGAAAAGAGGCCAACAATTTAGCAATTTCTGCTGCTTGTGACAGGGCTCATGACTAATTCCCATATTTAAATGTGAACAGGCAAAGCTGGCCCATTTGACGGCAGCCAAGCGCATTTTATCAGGTCAGAAAGACATCAATGGCACCGGGGGGTAGGAGGTGGCTGGAACTGTTTAACTGTGCAAAATTCAATCAAAAAGAGAATTTAGAAGGCTGTGAAAGTTTGGACAGCGCCGCTGAAAACATACAGGCGGATACGCGAGTGTGTTTTTTTAAGCATTATTGTGTGTCTTGTCTCTTTATATCAGTTTACAAGAGTTAACACTTGAAAGCGCAGTTCTAAGTCAGCCCTGTTCATTATTTCTCGACCCCTTGACATTGCAGGTGCAGATTCGAATAGCAGTCTCTCTCCCTCGCATTGTCTCTGTGGTATGGACTGATTAAATTCTGCATGAACAACATCAAACTGTGTGATACTGAGTAAAACGCTCACTTACAAACACTGAATTCATTTTAGGTATCAAATGCTTAGGCCTGTGTTAAGTCTGTCACACTTTTCTCTCTTTGTGAGAAGTGTATTGCGATACCATATTGAGTAAGGGATATTTTATTAGATGTTTCCTGAGGTTATTTTCCTTTTTCTGTATGCGCAAACTTGGGTAAAAGATAAAGTGCTGGTAAGCTGCTCTTACAAGGTCAGTTGGATGCTATTGAATTTCCTTACTGGATAGGAACAAATAATCATAATTTATGCCCGCTGTATTTTAAACTTTATTTCAATGGTATAGGAATATCATATGTAGTATATCAAAAGCAGATTTCTTCAAAAGTTTGAAGAAGAAGGAGAAGAAACAGCATTGGTGATTTTCCACTGTTACCAAGCAGTGGAGAAAAATAAATGCTGTTTATTGCCAAAAACAGTATATGACAAGTCTTTTGTGAGAAATGCTACCGTAAAAAAAAAAATATGAAAACTTTCCAAATCTGTTTATCTACACAAAACGTATCCAGAAACTGACAGATTTTCAGAGTAGGAAAAAAGGTCCATTATTACCGTATTTAAAATATTATACACTTACATAAAGAATGGGAACTATAACTGATGTTTCATTCAAATGTAGTGTTTCGCTTGAATTCTGAACTTTATGGGATTTTGAGTCTGAACTTGTACAAACAATATACATATTTGTTTTTATTTTTCCGAAGAAACTGATAAAGGGAGAAGCTACAGCGGGTCACTGCCACATGCGGATTAATAAGTACATTTACATTTATTAAAGTTAATATAGTATATTTATTTATTTTTATTATCGTATCATCTTTAAGTCCATCTGTAACTAAATCGTTCTTTTAGAATCTGGGAAAATATCAAGTTTAAATCTCGTTTAAAGTTTGTAGACGCGCTGCGAGCCACGCGATTCCCAAGAAGCTCTCATTGAGAGGCCACGTGTCCGTTTCCAAAGCCTCTCCAACTTAACCACCTCCATTGTACGTCTAACCCAGATCGGCAGCGTCCCTCCACATAAAGGGATTTGCAATTTCAAGATATTCCAGCTTAAATGTTTTTGACAGTTCCCTCGCTTTTGCCTCAGCCTGCTTATTTTAACTGTGCCAAATGGGTCACCTTGGGTAGCTGTCTGCGCGCAAAGGGCTTTTGCGCGCATTCAGTCCGAATTTTTTCCAACTTTCCTTGACAGGGAAACCAGCTGCTGGTCGTGAAAAGACGGCTTATTAATTGTCCTTTGTCATGCAGAATTGCTTGATTTCTAAAGAAACATACAAAGGCTCTTTTTCAGGATTCAAGTATTTTGTTTCGTGCGCATTTTCAACTCATCGAATCAGCTGCAGCGCCTCACCGTCTACCAGACTCAGGTACTGACGGCCTGCCTCTTTTGTCCGCTTTTAATGCTCTTGTAAATCAGGCAGACTGATTTGTTACAAGCTGCTCTTTTAATCTGATAGATAAGAGACAAGTCTAAGAAAAGCCGTAAATGAAAAATTAGTTGGAAGAAAGACAAGGGCGAGTCTGCTAGATGGGGGTCTGTTGACTCAAGCGGCCCTCGAGCGTCAGGCAAGCCCTCTCAGCAGCCCCTGTCAGGGTCACGTCAACAATTCGCTTTTCTTCCCGTAAAAAGACACTGTAGCCCTTTTTGCTTCAATGAATTGATCGGCGCAAAATTAAGAATAAATAAATTGAGAATTTTGAGCACCAGGCTTAAAACTCCCCCAGGGCGCGTACCCCCGGGCTATTGAATGGATAAAGGGTGCTTTGCAGAGGACGCACGGTGCAAAATGAGACTGTATGGTGTAATTAACTAAATGGCCTAATCCTATATCTTCACAAATGCAAATATTAGAGTTTTGTTAAAATGTTTAAGTGAACAATTAAACGAGCGTTTCCAAGAGCAGTGCAGTATCCCGAGGACACAATGACTGGAATAATTTAGTAAATGTGCTGATCTTACCATGTCCTTTGTTGACACCGATGGCTGGTGATAAATTCCCAGCAAAGGAAACAACATTTAAAATCTATTTCAATGATTTCAATGAAGATTTAAGGCGCCATGTTAATGGAGTAGGGCGCGTCGAGACCTGCATCTCACAATGTGGTAGTGCGTAACTAAAAATGTAATCTGAGCTCCAGTTCTCGTGCGCAAAAGAAGATGAAAAATAAAAAGCGTGGAATGGCTGGAATGCCCTTTTCGCGTAAATAAAATAGCGTGTATTTTTCCCCCACAGAGCACACGCATGTTTCTAAATTATTAAATGAATCAGTTTCTAAAGTCGACTGGAATGACAGTTCATTTAGGAAACATTGAGCAAAAAAAGTTATATTGTATGAACTAATTAATTATTTAGTAAATGATCAATTCATGTCATAGACGCACACGTTTTTGTTTTTCTGAAATACACATAATAAAATAATTATTTTTGCTTAAAGCACCGATCACAAACGCAACATCCAAACACAATAATCTCCATCATCACCAAGTGTCCGTCTAGACCCCTTTAAATAAATTTAAATACAAACATCGATTAATCTGTCTCGTTGACTCGCATATTTTATTCATTTGCGCATTATTGTCTGTGTATTAATACACTACTTTGGGTTTTATTAACCCGCTCTCACGAGACTGTTAAGAACCGTGCGCTAAATGGCTCAGTGTTTAACGGAGAGGCCCCGCGCCTGGGGGACACCAGGCGCTTTCAGCTGCGTCCCCAGGGAATGCCACAGGGAACCCGATGAATACGCGTTTCTTTGGACTTCTTGACGGAGATCTATACCGATGCACTTGAGTTGTAAATATAGAGGCACGGAGAATCTGTGATTTAGATAAGCATACACTCTCAGCGTTCCCAAACTAGAGTGTTTTAAAAGTCAGGATTTTGTATAAAGTATAAAGTCTTTTATCAGTTGTTATCTTTACTTAAACAGACATCCTATAGTGATCTTTTACAGACGGTCACAGACACTCTTGTTTCATCCCTTTAAAGACCTTATAAATGTTTATTAAAACGAGTTGGCGCGCGCTTAACACGCGCTGGTCATCTTTGTGAGCTTTATTAAATTACGCCTTAAGGTTTACCCATGGGGAAAACTTTGTGCAGAGATACGTCTTATATATATATAATACACATTAATATGAAATGCAGAATATTAAACCTCTTATTGGACACGTTTTATGGGTGCTTTCACCCCAATTATTATAGCAACGTGATCCCATCGTATTTATAAAGCGTTTCTTATTCTTGCAGTCATGATTGAGCATATGCTGATGCGCAGAACTTGTGCATCTTTTGCATCGTTTCCAGAATGTTCATCCTCTATTTTAGCAGTGCGCTCTTTCAATAACATGTTAGAGAAAGTTTTAAGCGGAATATTACAAAATGCTTCAGAACTATAACAATTGTGCTGCATGCACAGGCAATTAAACCTTAAATTAAGCCTTATAACATTGGAAGACTCTTAGAAGTCTTATTAGAGGTAAAAAGAGAACGTAATTTGTGGCTTTTGCTGCTAAAAAAAAATCAGTATGACATGTGTTATGGTTAAAACCAACTGAAATTAGACATTTTGTCACTAAGAAATATTCTTTATTTTCAGCATTAAGGTTTTTTTAAATAAATAAATATTCTCATTACAATAAAAGTACAATAACAAATTGTGGCATTACATCGGATACCGCCCATATTTTTTTATTCCGTCCCCAAAATGTGCTTAAAGCTACCCTGTACCATCCATACAAACAAAACAACTGAATAATCTTTTTAAAAAGTACAAATTAATTTTGGACCGTTGATAACACAGATTTAAAAAAAACGTTTGGTGACAGGAAATGTATTTGGATGCGGAACTATGGGCTTAAGTTGTTTTCAGAAAAAACTACAAACATAGAACATGTATACAAATATACAACATTAAAGGGATACGCAGACCCCGATCATATATAAAGTGTTTTCTCTCTTTCTCTCTCTCTCGCTATTTACAGGTGACGGCGCACGCAGAGACCGTCGCTTTTTGGCTGCATTCAAGATTCCACAGGTGTGGCGTACAGAGTCTTTTGAGGTGGTGGTCATGAGCAATGCGCTAGAGTTCATGGGCTTACGGACAGATCTGCGTCCTCTTTTTCTGATGTCGGAGGTGACATGGGGAGGTCATCTTCTTCCTCGGAGCACCGGGCGGAGGACAGGGACGACGAGCACTTGCAGTTGTGCGAGCCCGTCCTGTGGGAGCCGCTTTTGCCTTCTTTTTTGTGCTTGACGCGGCGGTTCTGGAACCAGATCTTGACTTGCTTCTCGGACAGATTGAGGTAAGTCGCGATCTCTATGCGCCGAAGTCTGGACAGGTACATGTTGGATGTGAACTCCCTTTCCAACTCCAGGAGCTGCGTACTGGTGAACGCAGTGCGCATGCGCTTGCTGCTCTGAAGATGACTGCTGTTATTTTCTGTAGAAGAGACAAAAAAAGAGTTCAATTACATTTGTTGATACGGGTGACATTTAAACAGAAATGAAGTTACGAAAGTAGACTTTTTATGGCGACTGGCGTCAGTCACAACCTACTTACCTATGGCGCGCGCTTAACACGCGCTGGTCATCTTTGTGAGCTTTATTAAATTACGCCTTAAGGTTTACCCATGGGGAAAACTTTGTGCAGAGATACGTCTTATATATATATAATACACATTAATATGAAATGCAGAATATTAAACCTCTTATTGGACACGTTTTATGGGTGCTTTCACCCCAATTATTATAGCAACGTGATCCCATCGTATTTATAAAGCGTTTCTTATTCTTGCAGTCATGATTGAGCATATGCTGATGCGCAGAACTTGTGCATCTTTTGCATCGTTTCCAGAATGTTCATCCTCTATTTTAGCAGTGCGCTCTTTCAATAACATGTTAGAGAAAGTTTTAAGCGGAATATTACAAAATGCTTCAGAACTATAACAATTGTGCTGCATGCACAGGCAATTAAACCTTAAATGAAGCCTTATAACATTGGAAGACTCTTAGAAGTCTTATTAGAGGTAAAAAGAGAACGTAATTTGTGGCTTTTGCTGCTAAAAAAAAATCAGTATGACATGTGTTATGGTTAAAACCAACTGAAATTAGACATTTTGTCACTAAGAAATATTCTTTATTTTCAGCATTAAGGTTTTTTTAAATAAATAAATATTCTCATTACAATAAAAGTACAATAACAAATTGTGGCATTACATCGGATACCTCCCATATTTTTTTATTCCGTCCCCAAAATGTGCTTAAAGCTACCCTGTACCATCCATACAAACAAAACAACTGAATAATCTTTTTAAAAAGTACAAATTAATTTTGGACCGTTGATAACACAGATTTAAAAAAAACGTTTGGTGACAGGAAATGTATTTGGATGCGGAACTATGGGCTTAAGTTGTTTTCAGAAAAAACTACAAACATAGAACATGTATACAAATATACAACATTAAAGGGATACGCAGACCCCGAACATATATAAAGTTTTTTTTTCTTTCTCGCTATTTACAGGTGACGGCGCACGCAGAGACCGTCGCTTTTTGGCTGCATTCAAGATTCCACAGGTGTGGCGTACAGAGTCTTTTGAGGTGGTGGTCATGAGCAATGCGCTAGAGTTCATGGGCTTACGGACAGATCTGCGTCCTCTTTTTCTGATGTCGGAGGTGACATGGGGAGGTCATCTTCTTCCTCGGAGCACCGGGCGGAGGACAGGGACGACGAGCACTTGCAGTTGTGCGAGCCCGTCCTGTGGGAGCCGCTTTTGCCTTCTTTTTTGTGCTTGACGCGGCGGTTCTGGAACCAGATCTTGACTTGCTTCTCGGACAGATTGAGGTAAGTCGCGATCTCTATGCGCCGGAGTCTCGAAAGGTACATGTTGGAGGTGAACTCCCTTTCCAGCTCCAGGAGTTGCGTGCTGGTGAACGCAGTGCGCATGCGCTTGCTGCTCTGAAGATGACTGCTGTTATTTTCTGTAGAAGAGACAAAAAAAGAGTTCAATTACATTTGTTGATACGGGTGACATTTAAACAGAAATGAAGTTACGAAAGTAGACTTTTTATGGCGACTGGCGTCAGTCACAACCTACTTACCTATGGATATGCAGTGGAACTGTCGTGGATCTGGAACTGGGTATGTGGCTTGGTATAACCCCGAGCCGACGTTGAGGTTTACGCCGCTAGACGTGGAGTGCTGTCTGGATAGCGCCGTGTGACAGTATTGGGAGCCGAAGGCAGGAAAGGAAGCCTTGATGAGTGGGAGAGCTGGAGGCGACGGGTGAAGCTGAGACGTGACGCACAGCGGGCAAAAGCACAGCAACCCCGCTTTTCGAGAGTGGCATGAGCCGGCGGAGAGACCGTGGAGAGGATGAGACGGATGCACGGCGTAAGGAAATAACGGCGGGCTGTTCTCGGTTCCTTTTTCGCTGTTCTCCCTCAAAATCAAGGAATCCACAAGAAACGATCTTGGCATCTTGGCTGCCCTGTGTTTCTTCACCTAATGTCTGAGAGTTCGTAAAAGTTTCTCTTTGTCAGTCTCGTACCAGGATGTGTACCCAAGGCTGGATGGCGGAATGGTGCTGAAGAGAAACGGTTCCTGCTTAAATAGTTGGAGAGCCAGTGCGCCCATGTGACGGTTACGCTACTAGCGGCTGAGAGCTCTCAATAGGGTTTTGTGCCTTTTCTCTCGGCGTTCACTCTGCACGCTTCCCTATTATTTCACTTGTTAACTAAATGAACTGCATAATGTAGTCTATTCTTGTCAGCCCCACCCACACTGCAAGAGGCGGCACTGCCCCTTCTCCCTTTTAAAATTTCCACTCCTTTTATACTATTACTCTTTAGTGTCGTTTTAAACTTTATTTTCTTTCTCACGCGATCACATGGACACTATTGCTCTTTTAATTAATTTCATTCAAAGAGCTTCGTCATTTGTTCTGCGTGAACTCATTAGACATTCGGTGCATATAACGTATGTCACAAGGCTCATCTGCCCAGTTCCACCTGCAGCTCAGACCATCATTAACTATTATAACCATTAAACGACTTGTTTCTGAGAGAGGGTTTCAGAAATAGGATTGCATTATAGTAGCCTGTTTAAGATACGGACATAATATTTAGTTAAGAAAGAACACAGCTGTCAATATCTGATAAACGTTTTGTTTTTGCAGGGACTCTTTGCTCTACCTTCTCGAACCAACTTTTTTACATTTAGGGTTTATTTTATTTTTCCCCCTTTAAGTCTATGTCCGTTTTCATTGTTTTACCTATACCTATATGCAGGACAACATTACATTACAATACTTATTGCATCATTACAGTTATATCCTAAATCAAATTACAATAGCCTACATGCAAATCTCTGTTTTGGATGCGCACAACAGAAAGTATATTATTTATGATTATTATTAATAATATTATTATTATTATTATTTTACAATTAGTATTTAACCATATTGTTACAATAAGATTTCTTTTAAATATGAGTTCTAAGGGTGTATATCCATTCTGAGGGAAATGTATAATTTCCACTAGCTAAAAAAAAAAAAAAAAAAAAAAAAAAAAAAAAAACCGG